ATTCTATAATAAATATATACCCATATTATTAATAAATTATTATTTTATTTAAAAAATACTAAATATACTTTAATTTTTTAGGCAAATTTGCCTAGATTACAGTTTAAAAGATAAGGAAAAATAGGGTAAATTAGAACAAACAGTATCAAACATAGCCTGGTCAGTCCTTTCAGAAGAAACAAGAAACCAACTCAACAAGATACATCTCATGCTAGAGATTATTGAAAGAAGAAATAAACAAAACAAAAGCTGCAATTTTTAAAAGCCTGATTCATAAGAAGATCTTTAGAAAGCGCTTTAACATTATCAAATTGTTGAAAGAAGTAAAAAACTACATAGAATCTGCAGTTAACCTATTCTAAAACTTCTTTTATGAAAATACTGTATATAGAAAACAAAATACATCGCAGTTAATGACTAGAAGAAGAAAAAAGAGATAGATATAAAGCAAAAAAAAAATGCAAGTTAAAGTCAAGAAGCTCAAGTACTAGCATATTGCAGATATGTTCAACTGCAGGAGAAATATTGATGAACCAAGACCATACTAGAAGAAAAGTTAAAAAAAAGAAAAGATAGATAAAGAAGAGAGAAAAAAAAGAAGATCTTTTGGTTATTGTTGATTAAAAATTATGTTGTAAATAAAGTGAAACCTTTCTGGTATAGTTTTACAAACTAGCTTGATGCAGTCTCCTAAGCAGGCAAATGCCTTAACTGATATAGCAGATTGCTCTTGAGCACCCTTAGGGTAGCTGAGAGATGTCAGATCTGTAGCTTAGATAGTTAAATATATATATATATGTATATTATATATAATTTCGCAATTTTTGTTAGTTTCAAAATAACGCATATTAATTTAAAATTGCAATTTAACATATATTAAATAATAATCGGTATAACAACTATTAACTATATATATATTACATATTTAGCTTATTTTATAAAATTTTTAAAAAAAATAAATAAAAAAATCAATTATGTATTAATTACCAGTAATTAAATAAGCGAAAAAAATAAATTATATATCAAAGTTATACAATACACAAAGCATCAAATACATCTATATCAATATTGGCTATGATTAATGATTATTGTATTCACCCTCAATACACAACCATCATCTAGTATAAAGTATATTATTTTTTTGGTATAAACAACTTTTTATTTTGCAGTTGATTTTACTACAATAACAACTATCATTTTTTTAGATTTCATTTTCTTTGCCTGATTATTGGTTTGAAATTGGATAAATAGATTATCTTCAACATCTTGTACTTGTAATATTGGATATATTAAATTTTGCTACATAGCTACATTTTTTAGAGAGAGAAAATTGTCCAGTGGAATAATATCAAGTAATGAGTATTCATTTGTAGCTGTTGTAGGCAAAAATAAATTTAAATTTAAACTCTTAAATCAATTTTAACCCAATTACAATACACCTAGAGGTTCTAACTCATTGGCTAAAAACCATGAATCTAAAATTTCAAATTTGTATTCAACCTAATAGAAATCAAGATTGGGCTTTTTTGAATAACTTTATAAGGCAAAGAATACCTATCCAACTTTAGCTTATTAATATCTGAAACTCTAATTTTAACAAAATCTCCTAAATTAAAAATCAAATGACATTAAGTTTTATGAAGTTTTTTTATAATATCATGAATAATTTGATAATTTTTTTTAATATAATATTTTGCTATATCACATATGGATTTGTGATAGTCAAGATATGCATATAATTGGCTTTTAATTAATTTTTGACTTTTTTTATTTGAATCTTCAGCAGATGAATAGCCTTCCTGGTCTGATTTTTCAATTAATATATAAGAATAGCTTGCCTGACTTGAATCTTCAAATAATAAACCTTCTTGAGTTAAATCTACCACTTCATACTAAAATATATTAAAATTAAATGTTAATATTATAAGTATTGTCAAAAAAAAATATACTTATCTAAAAATAGATTATTATAAAATTTGTAATAATTTATTTTTAGATAAATACATTTTCTTTTGCTGATACTTATATATATTTATTATTTTATAATATAGATATTGATATTTAAGTTTACATTATCTAGATTTGATGCATACTATTTTTCTTTTCTATCTATAAATTTTATATATCA